AAGCCATCATTAGGCTGAAAAAACAAAACAAACCCATCAGAGAGAAAGCAAAAACATTAGGCATGGCCAAAACAACTGTTTGGAGCATTCTTAAAAAGAAGGAACGCACCGGTGAGCTCAGCAACACCAAAAGACCCGGAAGACCACGGAAAACAACTGTGGTGGATGACCGAAGAATTCTTTTCCTGGTGAAGAAACACCCTTCACAACAGTTGGCCAGATCAAGAACACTCTCCAGGAGGTAGGTGTATGTGTGTCAAAGTCAACAATCAAGAGAAGACTTCACCAGAGTGAATATAGAGGGTTCACCACAAGATGTAAACCATTGGTGAGCCTCAAAAACAGGAAGGCCAGATTAGAGTTTGCCAAACGACATCTAAAAAAGCCTTCACAGTTCTGGAACAACATCCTATGGACAGATGAGACCAAGATCAACTTGTACCAGAGTGATGGGAAGAGAAGAGTATGGAGAAGGAAAGGAACTGCTCATGATCCTAAGCATACCACCTCATCAGTGAAGCATGGTGGTGGTAGTGTCATGGCGTGGGCATGTATGGCTGCCAATGGAACTGGTTCTCTTGTATTTATTGATGATGTGACTGCTGACAAAAGCAGCAGGATGAATTCTGAAGTGTTTCGGGCAATATTATCTGCTCATATTCTGCCAAATGCTTCAGAACTCATTGGACGCTTCACAGTGCAGATGGACAATGACCCAAAGCAGACTGCAAAAGCAACCAAAGAGTTTTTTTAAGGAAAGAAGTGGAATGTTATGCAATGGCCAAGTCAATCACCTGACCTGAATCCGATTGGGCATGCATTTCACTTGCTGAAGACAAAACTGAAGGGAAAATGCCCCAAGAACAAGCAGGAACTGAAGACAGTTGCAGTAGAGGCCTGGCAGAGCATCACCAGGGATGAAACCCAGCTTCTGGTCATGTCTATGCATTCCGGACTTCAGGCTGTAATTGACTGCAAAGGATTTGCAACCAAGTATTAAAAAGTGAAAGTTTGATTTATGATTATTATTCTGTCCCATTACTTTTGGTCCCTTAACAAGTGAGAGGCACATATGCAAACTGTTGTAATTTCTACACCGTTCACCTGATGTGGATGTAAATACCCTCAAATTAAAGCTGACAGTCTGCAGTTAAAGCACATCTTGTTCATTTCATTTCAAATCCGTTGTGGTGGTGTATAGAGCCAAAAATGTAAGAATTGTGTCGATGTCCCAATATTTATGGACCTGACTGTATTCTTTTTTGAGAAATCTGGGGTCTATCAGACTCTAGATCTCTCCTCTGCCCTTACATTATCTAATTAACTAAGATCGGTGTCATCAGATGCTTTCCCAATACTGTATACAAATGGAGCTGTTTATATCTTGCGAAACTGAAGTGATGAAATGCTTGTAGCTTCTGCTTTCTTAGACTATAGAGATGATTGCACCATTCTGGTCTCCAATCAGCTCTATGGTCAGCTGGCAGAAACACCGGCTGCATTCTCAGGTCCCCCCGATGGCACGGGACTGCCCGAGAAGGCTGTGGAAGGCAACGGGGGAGGGGGTCATCATCTCCCGCTGCTTGTTAAAGCAATCCTGCAGCTAATTAGGCACTAGGATTGCTTTTACATGAAAGCCGATTGCCGTCTGAAAAAAATTATACCAGGATGATGCCTGAAGCTGTAGGCATCATCCTGGAATAACCATTCAAAGTCCAGTGATGTACCAGTACATCTCTGATCCTTGTGTATATATGCTATGTTCTTTTTTTTTTAATATGCAGCCTGTGGACTGAATGAAAAAAAGAGAAGAAATCTCTGCCAGAAAAAGTGTGTGGTATACCCACCATTAGAATATACCGCCCTGCATCCACCCACTTCTAATGATGGGCACACATTAGGTCACATGGTGCTACATGCACCAGTTCCAAGATGGTACAAATGTCTAAATAGTGGCACGCTTGAATAAAAATTGTCCACGTATAAGTGGTACCCCATATGGAAAAAGGATGACACCAAGTCACAAACTATCTTGCCACTACTCCCCATGTAGTCTGGGCATCCAGGGGGCTCCACGTGACTATCTTTTCCCTCGTAAATCTGAAACTTATGATTATAGCCTCATGCCCTCTCACAGGTCTTCTACATCTTGACCCCATATCTGGCACGCTTGCTGGTAGAAATTGTTTGAATGCAAGGCGGCCAGAAAAAAAATAATGAGGGACTCATCAACGCAGATGTTTTTCTGGGGAGTATAGACATCTGCAAATTTTTGGTTAAGGTGATTTGCGAGGGGCTGAATTTTGTGGAGCCGGTCAAATTCAGGGTCACCCCGAGAATGAGAGAGTATTGTCGTTGAAATGCATAAAACACATTATACTCTCATATCTATGCCTGGCCATGGCAGCAAAGAACACGGGATACAATGAATCGGATCTGTGGACCAACACAACCGCAATTCATTTTTTTTAGTAATGCCCATGTTGAGGGTTAGGCCCCAAAAAAATTTAAATTTGGAAACCGTAATGGATTTCCATGTGAAGTGTCTGGCAAGGTTTGAATTTGGGTTTGCGGCGATAAATTGTTGTGCATATAAATCGCTTTGATCCACAATCAATGCATACAGATCTTCAGTGAAAAACAGCTCCAAAAAAATCAAGGAGTAGATACATTTGCTGTTTCCACCTGAATTCCAAGTTGGGCTGTGAATGGGGGAAGTACGGCTGCTGCAGAATTTGTGGGCTGTCAATCGTGATTTGCAAGCACATCCGGAAGGGTACTAGGGGCTCTACGGGCCTGTGTGCGAATTGATGGTGGTTGTGGGACAATACTTGTGCTCGCCACTGCACCAGCTTGTACTGCACTTATGGGACTCGCCACGTCACCAAGTGACACTGCAGTGCTGATATTATTATTATTTTTATTATACAGGATTTATATAGCGCCAACAGTTTGCTCAGCGCTACAATATAACGTGAGAATTCAGCAACAATACAATTCAATACAAGAGGGTTAGGAGGGCCTGATCCTGGGAGCTTAAAATCTAAGAGGTTTGTGAAAGACCAGTATGTACTAGGCCTCTAGTGCTCACCAGTTCATCAAAAGGTAGCGTGGCACTAGTACTGGCACTCTGCTGCATATAGGAGTCCTCAAAATTTACAGACAAGTACTAACAGAGACCAGGCCTGATTCTGCCAATACTGCGGTTTTGTGTGCAATGTACCAAGTGACAGTGAACTACTGACAGTAGGCTTGCTGGGGGAGAAGGGGGGGGGGGTAAGCATAGGGGATAAACGCAGGTGCTGGCAGGTGCTGGGGCTGATCCCGCTAACGTTGGGATTTTGGGGACGCTATACTAATGTGAACACTGGTATAGTGCTGATCTGATCAAAGATATTGATCCGTTCAGACACTATACTAGCAATGAGGTTTATTGTGTATGAGCGTGCTCCTGGCAATCAAGGGGTTAAATGTGATGACTGGTGTACTGACGGGCAATCTGACTCTATCTGGGAGGGGCGTGAAAACCACTGGAGTGCGAATCACGTATATATATATATATATATGTGATTTTGCGCACCCGTGCCGCCCTGTAGCAGTATTTTTGCTGCTATAGGGCAGTCAGGAAGCAGTTACAGAAGCGGTTTGTGTTACGACACTGCGTTACTTTAATTGACAATTGACAATTGCGTGGTTATGCAACGCTGCAGCAAAATGAAATTTATGTCCTTTTTTCCCCACAAATTGAACTTTCTTTCGGTGGTATTTGATCACCTGTGCATTTTTTATTTTGTGCGCTATTAAAAAAAAAGACCAACAATTTTGAGGAAAAAAAAACAATATTTTGGACTTTTGCTATAAAACATGTCCACTAAAAAAATTTAAAAATCAAATTTTGTCATAAATTTTGGACAAAATGTATTCTGCGACATGTCTTTGCTAAAAAAAATCCCAATGCATGTAAATTAATTGATTTACGTGAAAGTTATAGCATTTACAAATGGCGGTATAGATACTGGAATTTTTTTTTTTAAACTAATAATGGCGGCGATCAGCGACTTATGGGCGGGACTGCGGCGGACATTCTGACACTGGGGGGGAACTGACTTGGGGTCACTGACATCCCCAGTGACACCAATACAGTGATCAGTGCAAAAAAAAAAACTGACACTGTACTAATGGTACGGGGGAGGAGGGGTTAACATTTTTAGGCAATAAAAGGTTAACTGTGTGAGGGGAGTGTTTCACTAGGGAGCAGGGGGTGTGTACTTCACAGGAACATACTGATTCGGAAAGCTGAACTCCGCTCTCCAGAACTGTGTGCTGGAAACTGACAGGGAGGAGAGCTGCAGTGTAAACACTGCAGCCGTCCTCTCTGTCAGTGATTGCTGATAATCGCCGGGCTCCGGCGAGTAATCAACGGCCGGGACCCAGTGATTGACACCCGGGGCTGTGATCGTCGCCCCCTACCCGATATGCATAATCACGGATATATACATGATTTTGCGCAGCCCTGCTGCAGTGTATGTACTGTGGCTAGTCGGCAACTGGTTAATTGAATGTTTTTTTACAAATTCACATACTTTATATTTTATTCACATAGAGTTTATATCAAAGTAGCTCACAAGAATCACGTTTATCAGTACAGTGCATTGAGTTTTCATTTTATTGGGTTAAATTTGAGTAATAATAGTCTTATGTATAGGAGAGCACTTTGGGGTTGATTTACTAACAACCCCACAAGTGTAAGTGAACCCTTACTCCTGTGTTGACATGGAGGTCAGCCGGAGGAACCACTGTGAGTATTAAGAGGCAGAAAAGATTAATAAGTAGTGTTAGTTAGTTTTAGCAGACTTTGTACATTTCCCCATCAATAGAGCAGGGTTCATTGGTTCATGCAGCTGGAGAGATAAGTGTGTAATAATAACTTTTTTTTGCAGGTACAGTATTTAATCCTGTTTTTAGTTTAGGTACAGAATTGCTGTAAGTTCTCAGCAACATCATTCTAACATGCTTGCTTCTTCATCATCGATGTCCCAGAAGAACTTGAGAGGTAGACCCTTCATCTTCTCCTTATAAACCAAGTCAAACTTCTCACTCTGTGCCACTGTCATTTGGTTTTTCCAGTCACCAACAGTGCCTGATGAAGAGCAATGGGAGATGTTTATACAGATGGCAATGAGCAATGCAAAGCATATTTAGGAAAACCCCACATAATGGACAGAAAAAGGTAAGTTCTATTTTGTACACCTTGCGTAAGTCACAATTGGGGAGTTCTGTGACAATAATTCATGGAAAGAGGATAGTGACTTGTATGTGCCTACAGGGACAGCACCATGCTCATAATCTACACATTTTCCTTTGTCTGAGTTCCAATTAATAATTGTGAGTAAAGATAGTCATAAGCATATGAAGACAGTGGGACATGAAGGCATGATACATCCACCAAAGCCATGTTGGCTGGTTGTCTAATAAAAGTACAGAATGCCATCGAAAATGTAATTTTCTACTTGCCTGAAAAATTCTGCACTAAGATACAAGTCAGGTTTTAGGCATTCGCTGCAATGAAAGTCATTTTTGTGAGATACTTCCTAAGGATTTATTACTTCTAAAGGGATGCAGACACTGGAACTTTTCTCATTAGAACACTAAACGTGCATCGGCTGATTATAATGAACAGTCACTCCCATTTTGAATCAGTCTGGGAAAGATAAGGTGAAACAAACAGCCTTTTCTTCAGAGCAGAAACAGGCAGGCATTTGCAATACATTTTGTTAAAATCCTTGTAGTGTACATTGATAAATCAGAGAGGATTGTTTTTTTTTTTTTCTGGAATTACTCTTTAAAGTGTAAGTTTAGTCAAAATTTAACTAAAGCTAAACCTACTCCCACCCCCTTCTAAGACTATTCTATCTACCCTTTGAAAGAAAAGATGCTTAGGCTACTTTCACACTGATCCGCATAGGCATTTTTACTGTGCTTTCTGAACGGTTTTTATAGGGCATGTGACTTAAAAACTGCACTAAAAACGCTTCTCAGAGGAGTTTTTGAGGCATTTTTCAGGCGCTTTTCAGGCGTTTTTTCATGCCTTTTTCCATTGATTTCAATGGGAAGCTGTGTTTTTGGGGCGTTTTTTTTAACTCACCAAACATGCCCCAAAGATGCTGCAAGCAGGAGTTTTTACACCACACCGCAAGCGCAATGCTTCAGTGTAAAAACATTCATAGATATAAATTCACATACATAGGGAAGCATTTTCCTTAAACTTTTCAGGCGCAAAAATGCTTAAAAAACTCCTCAGTGTGAAAGTAGCTTAATACATGCCTGTTCTGAAGCAGCTCCAATCCAGCCACATGATGTCTGCAGCAAAGGCTTCAGTGTAGAGGAGAGATCATTGACAATGGCTGCAAATGCCTGCGAGATGACGTCACCCATAGGCTAACTGTGGAGCATCTGTTGTCGGCTGTCCCTCCTCTACACTGAACCGGCACTGGGATCTGATTGTGTGACTAGAGCGGAGTGGCTTAAGAAAAGCTGAGTATAAGCATCTCTTCTTTCACAGGCGAGATAGCTAAATCTGATGCAGCTCTGCATAGAAACCAATTAGCTTCCAGTTTTATTTTGTCAGAGCTTCATTGAAGAAACTGAAGTTAGAACTAATTGGCTACCATGCACAGCTGCACCAGATTTTGCACTCTCCAGTTTTAGTAAATTAACCCTATAGAATAGTCTTCGAACGGGGATGGGAGAACTTTTCGCTTTAGATTTTGACTGAACTTCTAGTTTAAATCTGTTAGAATTTCATTGGGGTGGATCTACTAAAGACAAATAGGAAGGAAACTTTACAAGAGGAGTTGCACTTTGCAAGGGAATTAGGGAAGCTCAGAGCTCAGAAAATGAGGTGAAGCTCTGCTGACTTCTATCATCCAATCGTATACAAAAAAATGTGTTTTTTTTTTTTTTAATCTTTTTCCTTGCAAAGTGAGACTTCACCACAAAATAACTAAGCTCTAAGACATATTCTCTTGCAAAGTGAAAAGTCTATTTGCCTTTAGTAAATCCAGCCCATTTTATCTGAAAAGTTGACTTACTATACCAGGTTTCTCCTGCAGATGTCTGAAGCTGGTGGTCCTACAAGTAAAACCCCTTTCAACACACTACTAACTAGTATCTGTTAACTGAAATAACTAAACAAAACATTACCTTTGCGAATAAAGTCTCCTTTTTCAAAGTCCAAGACATTATTTAGCAAGAATTCATAATTAGCAAGAGGATCTTGTTTCATTGTTCTGAATGATGCTTTTTCCACAACTGTATCTACTGCTTGGTCATCAAGCTTGATATCCACAAAGTTGCATATTTTAATCACAGCTGATCTAAGATCCTAAAGCAAATTGATTATTGTAAAACACATTCAGAGAAAAAAAAAAATTACAATGTACAGTGTATTAAAATTGGTAATGGTGGAAGAATCATTTCTTCATATCTGTAAAAGCACAAATCTACCAGATATCAAATAACAGAAATTAGGTAGTACTTGCTTTTTTCATCTCCTCATAAGTCATAAAAAGAATATTGTAATCCTCTTTGTGGGTGTACCAGCCTCTAAGATGATCAAACCATGACCCGCCAATCACTGTAAAATAAAGGAGTGTTCCCAAGATGTAATAATTATTAAATAAAAACAAATGCAAAATGTGTATTCTATAATTAAACATGTGAAATAATGTAAAGTATAACTTTAACTTCAGGCACATTTTTTACTGTTTTGGATAGATTATGAAAAGGTTAAAACCTCAATCAGATTTCATTGCCCTCTGTATTTTCATTAGATGTTCTAACCAGAGTAAAAAAAATTAGCAAAGGTTCAAACCCTTCCCATACTATCCACAACATTTTTTTTATGCACCTAGTGTAAATATAAAGATATACAATATACAGTTAGTGCAAATATGTTATCAGTGGGTATTCTATTCAGGAAATACAATATATATTAGTGAACTACCTCTCCCAGATATGAATAGGTCCAAGAAGGTTTCCCACTGTAACGTGATGTGTAAATGGATATATAATTTATAGAAGTGATAAAATGATATCAAGACATCTTTTGGATTTCTGCTCACATAGATAATCTGTAAGGGTAAAAAAAAGAAAATAATATATAAATAAATAACTAAATATATATATATAAATATATATATATATATATATATATATATATATTGCACCTTAAAGCCCACATTTTGCTGAAGCTCCATCATTCCAACATAAGAAGGCATGGGATAAGAATTTGGTATGTGTATATATATACATATATATACACAGTAAGGTGTCTGAATACTTTATGAATGCACTGTGTGTGTGTTTGTGTATATATATATAGTGCATTCATAAAGTATTCAGACCCCTTCACTTTTTTCAATTGTGTTATGTTTCAGCCTGATAATACAGTCTTTAAATTCATTTTTTTTATCAATAATCTACACTCAGTACCCCATAATGACAAAGTGAATATAGAATTTTAGAAATGTCCGTGAGTGTATTAAAAAGAAAAAACTGAAACATCACATGAAGTATTCAGAACTTTTAATTAGTACTTTGTTAGAGTACCTTTGGTGCTTTGAGTCTCTTCGAGTATGACACAACAAGCTTTGCACACCTGGATTGGGGGACTTTCTGTCATTCTTCTTTGCCCAGTCTGAGATTCTGAGTGCTGTGGAACAGGTTTTCATTGACGATATCTCTGTACTTCGCTCCTTTAAGCTTTCCCTCATCCCTGACCAAAGTGAAAATTCTGTTTTCACTTAGTCAATATGGGGTACTGAGTGGTAATTAATGAGAAAAAAAAATGAATTTAAACAACTGTAGTTGTAGGCTGCAACATAACAAAACTGAAAAAAAAGTTCTGAATAATTTATGAATGCACTATCTATAAATATATATATCCAAATCTTATCTGATGCCTTCTTATTTTGGAATGTTGGAGTTTCAGCAAAATGTGGGCTTTAAGGTGAAAATTTGAGACGGGGCTCCAGTTGCTATGGATGACAACCCAGAAACCATGACCCAAGTGGTTGCTAGGCATTACTCTTCTGCAGGGGCAGTAGCTTCAGTGATCTTAGCCTCAAACCAGTCTTGCTAGTGTGATGCTCAGATACAAGTTACCTATCAATTAGATTTTATCCTCATTTGTATACAAACAGTGGATTTAAAAAGTCTACACACCACTGTTAAAATGTCAGGTATCTGTGATGTTAAAAAAATGAGACAAAGATAAATCATTTCAGAACTTTTTCAACCTTTAATGTTACCTATAAACTGTACAACAATTGAAAAAAAAACTAAAATAATGTGGTTAAAATATAAGTGTGTACACCCTCTTATAACTGGGGATGTAGCTGTGTTCAGAATTAAGCAATCACATTCAAAATAATGTTAAATAGTACACACCTGCCATCATTTAAAGTGCCTCTGATTAACCCCAAATAAAGTTCAGCTGTTCTAGTAGGTCTTTCCTGAAATTTTCTTAGTCGCATCCTACAGTAAAGCCATGGTCCGAAGAGAGCTTCCAAAGCATCAGAGGGATCTCATTGCTAAAAGGTATCAGTCAGGAGAAGGGTACAAAAGAATTTACAAGGCATTAGATATACCTTGGAACACAGTGAGGACAGTCGTCATCAAGTGGAGAAAATATGGTGCAACAGTGACATTAGCAAGAACTGGACATCCCTCCAAAATTTATGAAAAGCCGAGAAGAAAACTTGTCTGGGAGGCTGCCAAGAGGCCTAGAGCAACATTAAAGGAGCTGCAGGAATATCTGGCAAGTACTGACTGTGTGGTACATGTGACAACAATCTCCCATATTCTTCATATGTCTGGGCTATGGGGTAGAGTGGCAAAATGGAAGCCTTTCCTTACAAAGAAAAACCTCTAAGCCCAGTTAAATTTTGCATCTGAAGTCTCCCAAAAGCATGTGGAAAAATGTATTAAGGTCTGATGAAAGCAAGGCTGAACTTTGTGGCCATAATTCCAAAAGATATGTTTGGCACAAAAACAACACTGCACATCAACAAAAGAACACCATACCCACAGTGAAGCATGGTGGTGGCAGCATCATGCTTTGAGGCTGTTTTTCTTCAGCTGGAACTGGGGCCTTAGTCAAGGTAGAGGGAATTATGAACAGTTCCAAATACCAGTCAATATTGGCACAAAACCTTCAGGCTTCTGCTAGAAAACTGAACTTGAAGAGGAACTTCATCTTTCAGCATGACAACGATCCAAAGCATACATCCAAATCAACAAAGGAATGGCTTCACCAGAAGAAGATGAAAGTTTTGGAATGGCCCAGCCAGAGCCCAGACCTGAAACCGATCAAAAATCTGTGGGGTGATCTGAAGAGGGCTGTGCACAGGAGATGCCCTCGCAATCTGACAGATTTGGAGTATTTTTGCAAGGAAGAGTGGGCAAATATTGCCAAGTTCTATGTCATGCTGATAGACTCATACCCAAAAACTGAGTGCTGGAATTAACTCAAAAGGTGCTTCAACAAAGTTTAAGGGTGTGTACATTTATGCAACCATATAATTGTAGTTTTTTATTTTTACTTCCTTTCACCTAAAAGATTTCAGTTAGTAGTTCAATTGAGTTGTACAGTTTATAGGTCACATTAAAGGTGGAAAAAGTTCTGAACTTATTTATCGGTCTCATTTTTTTACATCACAGAAACCTGACATTTTAACAGGGGCGTGTAGACTTTTTATATCCACTGTGTATATATATATATATATATATATATATATATATATACTCAGTGCACCTTTACTTCCAGAATAAACATTTTCTATGGTCCACTATACTACAAAATACTACCACAAATGTGGGCAATTGATTGCAAACAAGATTTGTTAGTTTGCACATGCAAAAAAGTATTTTTCCTAACACATTCATTCAAGACCATGTTGCAAAAATGAATACACCCCAATGAAAGTCTTAGGAGCAAAGCTAAATTTTAGACAACAAAATCCTAATTAAAAAGAATTCAATTACAGGTGAGTCTAATTATTCATTAAACAGGTGTCCAGCAGACAGTTGATTATATAAGGGCATTACTTAACAAAGAAAACCCCTTCCCATTTCACGCTGTCAGCAATGGCACCACATGGAAGAGAAATATCACAAGACCTGAGAAAGAAAAGAAAATTTGCTCCTAAGACTTTCATTGGGATGTATTCATTTTTGCAATTTTCTTGAATGAATGTTAGGAAAAATATTTTTCATGTGTGTGTAAACTAGCAAATCTTGTTTGCAATCAATGGCCTGCATTTGTGGGAATATTTTGTACTGTAGTGTCACATAAAAAATGTTGCTTCGGAAAGGAAAATAAAGGTTTTCTTTTGGGGTATACTCATTTATGCTGATATATATATATATATATATATATATTCAGCATTAAATTAATATTTCTGTTAATTGTATATTCTACATAAATGAGAAGACTAAAGTATCACAAATATCACCCACATTGCTTACTTTTGCTCTCTTGAACCTGAGATCTTTTGGCATAAGATAGTAAGGTAGGTGTGATGAGAAGAGGCGAGGAGATTGTCGGCTATCAAAGTCAATGTTGCTTATATTATATTCAATCCATGGAGCTCTGGCCATGTTGTCAATATGTTCTGATCCATTCCTATGTCCTTCATGAAAGATCAGATTTAGAACTTGCTGTGTCCATATTGTACCTGAAAATTTTAATTGCAGTAGCTTTTACATTTTTTATCTCTTCAGTAAAAGCTTAAACCACTAAACATGCATGATTACTAAAATGCTGATGCATACTAAAATATTAACTATTACATTTTTGAAGTTCACATTATAAACCATTGCTCCATAATATCCTATGTAACTGTACAAAAAACATTTGTGAAGAGCAAGCCAAGATATGAAGAATAAGATATTCTTTGACACTGATAACAAGTACACTAACTAAAAAAAATACACAAGAAGACTATTTAAAACAACTTTAACATTACTCCAAAATGGCCACCTCATTCTTCACAACTCTACTACAAGCCTATGATTTGTACGATATTTGGCTATGTTATCACACTAGTGAAAATTACTTCACATTCTTCTCTACATGTCATCGATCTTATTCGAAAATTAACTTATTTCTCACCTACCAATGGCTCCTCCCAAGAGTGCTCTCAACCACCATTAACAAGATAACATGATCAGACCATGCTTCTGTGTCCTTGCTGATTATCCTTTTGACTCCTTTTCTACTACTCCTACCTTTGTTCAGAGAGCTCATTCGTTCCTTTTACAAACTCCTAAAGCCAAATTGGTTTTTGTAAAAAGTCACTCTGATATTTCTGGGGAAAGATGTTAAGGAAGCGTTCGATTGGGTGAATTGGCGATTTATGTTCACAGTCCTACGACATATTGGCTTAGGGAACAAAATGTTACATTGGATCTCCGGTATTTACACTCCCCAGTGGTTTGCCCACTGCAATATTATTAAAATGAGCATTCTCCTGAAATTTATCTACCTATTCCAGGCACTGCCCACTGCTATACCCCCACAATACTTTAAGAAAATACACTCACTCTTTGCTAAATTTATCTGGGCAGGTAAACCCCCTCAACTACGTAGACACTTGTTGACTCTCCCTAAACAACATGGAGGTCTTGCCTGCTGGACGCTCTTAAGTATTACTTAGCAGCCCACATGAGCAGACTGATAGACTGGGGACACAGAGATACCAAACTCTGGACACAGATTGATTGAATTCAACTGTGTGGCACCCATTGGTGCTATGGAGAACTGCTCGCTCACCTTAAGTCACACACCATGATAGGTGCAATGATCTGTATCTGTTTCAAGCTCTTTAAGGTGTCCTTACTGTTTACGCTGGATTATCCTCTTTTTCTAAATCCTGAGTAACCCGGGTTTCCTCCTGGGACTTCAGGAAGGACCGTTTAGCTCACTGATGATGTCACAATGATGAAACACTTTGGGCATAGCTAATTGCGTCACCTCCGACTTCCAGTTTCGGCTGTGGAACACATACAGCGTTCAGGTCTTGTTATCCTTAAAGTGCCCATTCATTTATCTATTGTAAGTGCAATACTCTGTTTTTTTTTCATTTAACAAATGTTTTTACACTATGAAAGCTTCCCTTTCTCTGGATTTTCATATTATGGTCTACATGGAGAAGGAGAGGGAATTAACCGTCTAGGATCGTGAAGAAACAGCATCACCCTACTACTACCCAGCCTAGATTGGAGAGCAACTTGAGCGCATTTGACCTGCTTCCAAAAGGGATCAAACACTGTGATGAGTGCTGCGGAAGAGGGAGAGCATAAGTGGATGCACTGATTTCATTGTCACATCTGTTGACTATAGAACGCGTTCACTACAGCACTGAGAGCACTGGAAATCAGATTGAACTTTACTTATTTAAAGATACAGAGACATTTGAATCTCTAGTAGATCACTTATGTACTGTACATTCATTGCATTGTATAGTCACCTTTATAAGGAAGTAGAGATAATCATATATGGTTGATTCATTTTATTTATTCACATTCTTGTGTTAATATTGTTTTGACATGGTGTATGGGGGACGTGCACTGTAGTGTTGCACTTTTCATATATGGGATTGTTTATGTTAAGACATTTATTTAATTTAATGTATAGGTTTTGTATTTTGGATATAGATCAGCACATAGCAAGTGGAGGAGGTGCATTGTAGTACTTTTGATGATGTGCATATGCTCTACATGCACTATTTGCACGTTGTAATTTCTGTCACATGATTTGATTTAGGGGCAGCATTACACCATTTTAATTTTTTGTTTCACACATACCTTTTTTAGGATCGTGGTAGGTATTAGCAACCGCCCATCCACAATCTACCATTGCACGGATTCACTCTTTCCTTTTCATAAGGCTCTGATTACTATATATGCAGCATTTAGAAGAGCAGATTTATGGGAATTTAAGTTTTTGCTGCATTGGTACTTATCGTAATGCTAAATTTTCTCCACAACTGTCCCTTAAATGCTGGAGAATTTGTGGTGCAATTAGCACAGTTGTTCCACATATTCTGGTCTTGCCACACCTCTCCACCTACTGGCTGAAAAAAGACAAAAGTCCATTTATTTCAACCGTAAAAAAAAGGTTATAATCCTATACCCACAGTTGATCCAGAGGAAGGCAAAACAAAAAAAACCCCAGCAAAGCATGATCCAATTTGCTCCTCAGGGGAAAAAACTCCTTCCTGATCCCTTGAGAGGCAATCAGATATTCCCTGGATCAAGTTTACCTATAAATGTTAGTATCCAGTTATATTTTGTGCACCTAGGAAAGAATCCAGGCCTTTTTAAAGCAATCCACTGAGCTGGCCAGAACCAACTCTTGGGGGAGTCTATTCCACATTCTCACAGCAATTACTTTGAAGAAACCTTTCCATATTTGGAGATTAAATCTCTTTTCTTCCAGGCATAAACAGTCTCTGTGATGACCTAAGGGTGAATAACTCTCCACTGAGTTCACTATATGAACCACTGATTTATTTATACATGTTGATCATATCCCCCCTTAATCTCCTCTTCTCAAGAGAGAATAAATTCAGTTCCTCTAATCTTTCCTCAGAGCTGAGCTCACCATGCCTCTTATCAGTTAGGTTGCCCTTCTCTGCACTTTCTCCAGTTCCCCAATGTTCTTTTTGTGAATTGAAACTACTTTTTGCATCCTCAACATCGTAAAAGGAAATACTATGCAGCTCTTGATATTTGGAAACCATGGATAGAATGGTACCATAAACCTCTACGTATCTGATTGCTATTGTTTGTATAATGTGGATACAGCATACGTTTATTTTCTTAATGCTCCTGTTGATCTTTGAGTGTGAATCCTCTATTGTTTAAAACCAAAACAACAAAAACAGTTATCATACAATGAAGGTAAACATAAGAAACGAACATTCATTACAAACAACATAGAATGAACAAATTTATAATAAGCTCTGGTTTAAGCCCTTCGCTGTCAGGTCTGTACGACATACGGACTTACTGCACTGCTTCCAGTTGGCCAGGTCCTTATGCCATACGGACCTGACATTCCTCCTGCTATAACGCTCATGGTCACTTCAGTGACTGTGAAACTTATAGCAGAACTGTATAGCAGAATTTGCTGAACAAACCAAAAGCTCTGATTAGCGGATGACAATCCACTGATCAGAGCTGTTCATCTAAAATCTGACACTGCCTGCCGATGCTGCAGATACCACTGCTTCCCTGTGTCTCCAGCCTCTCCACCTCCTGCCTCTGTTCTATGCCTGCCCCCACTCTTTTGGCTCCTTTCCCTGCCAATTCTCCCCCCCCCCAGCACTGATATTTCCCCCCTCCCCACACTGATCCCCCTGTCGATCCAATCTCCCATGCAATGGCCCCCCTTACCAATCCCCTGGCACCATTCCTGTTGTGCTCCTGGCTGGAATTCCCTCCTCCCCCTCCTGCTGGCTGAAGCTGCTGCCTGGTGACACAGAGAAGCTGTCAGGATAGATAGCAGTGGGGGAGGTGTAGGTTTGGTAAACATGTGTTTACCAGCCCTCTTTCTTTCCTTGAATGGGCAGAGTGAGCAATTAGTACTGTTCACGCCTGTGTCCATTCATCACTGAAGCATAGTAAACAGTGTTTACTATGCTTCAGTTTGTGAATGAATGGGAGCCTCTATACAAACTCCTATTCATTCAAGCTGCAGAGAAAGAGACATCAGACGTCTGTTTAGACCTCTGATATCTCACCCAAACCATGCCCCCCCAAAAATACAAAATATTAAAAAATAAAATTGTAAATAAATTTAAATAAAAAAAATTGTAAGCCCTTGTTCACACAGCGCATACTACAGTGTATGCTCTTGTAAGGCAATGTTTACAGTACAGAGATGCAGAGGTGTTCCCTGCACTCCTTTGCTGGTAGTCCCATTTATTTCATTTGGGATTTAGCAATTCTACAAACACAGCTGTTGCTCCCAATTTGACATCCAGGTGCATGTCCTTGAGCCCAGGTACATGTCCCTGAGCACTCACTGTCTGCGTTCGGGGTCGTGCACCCACACAGATGTCAGATTGGGGGCAGCAGCTGTGCCTGTGAAGTCATTCCATCACAATTGACATGAATAGGACTGCCAGGATGGGGATCCATGGACCTCCTATGCATCCCCACAAAAACATGACCCTCCATGGCCATACACTGTGTATGCCCCACGTGAACTAGGCCTTAGTATCAATTTTGCAGGAATTTAGTCTTAATGTTGTGTTTGTGTGCACTAATAATGATTTTAGTTTTTTATTGTGAAAATAGTGATTTGAAGATGATGAACATTTGTGCAACTATTGTGGGGCCTAAAGAAAAATTTATTTGGACTTTTTTTATTATTAATTTTTATTTTTTATATTTATTTTTTGTATTGGTCCTTCTGGTTTATGGATTTGTTTCCCATTTTTTCACTTGAAATTTATTTCACTTTAATATGTGATTATTACTGTGTAGCAAAGCACGGATATTTTATATACGCATTTATAATTTATCCAAGGTTCAATTTACTATAGAATGAATGGAGACAATGTGGATTCACAAACTTGGTACTCTCTTTC